GGGGGGAGCAGAGTTTGAGGGGGGCAGAACCGGCCCCAGGATGGATCGGGAATGGGGAACCCCCTGAGTCCTCCACGTGTCACCCTGTTCATGGGGGGGGTTGTGGGGGCATCTGCACCCCAACAGGGCACCCAGTGCACCCCAAGAGGTGCCAGGACCCACGTAAACCCCGTAACAGAGGTGCTGGGAATCCCAAATTCAGTGGCAGGGGAGTGGGATCCCCAAAGGATGGGGGTGAGACAGGACTGAGGAGTGGGGAATGATGGGAAAGGGTTGGGAGAGGTCAGAAAGGTGGGGAAAAGGAGGATGTGGGACATCAGCCCATCCCCAGCTCCCTGCACACAGTGAAGCTTCCCAGTTCTCTGCACTCCTGGTGACTGGGGAGAAGTGGGGGGGATTCAAAAATCCTGGCAACAGGAGGGTTTGGACACTCCCTGACCCCGAAATATCACAAAAGAGGGATGTGGACACCCCTAGACTCTAGAAATCCTGGTAACTGGGGGGTTTGGATATTCTCAGACCTTAAAAATCCTGGGAACAGGGGGGTTTGGACACTCTCAGAACTACAAAATCCTGGAGAAAGGTGGTTTAGGCACATGCGGTGTATCAGGGAGGGAAAAGGTCCCAGAGATACTGGAACGTGAAAAACTAGACACTGTTGCTACTTAAGAAAGTAACTATTTATTATGAAAGGTGGCTAACAGTGAAAACATAGGCACTCAAGAGAAAGGGATTAGGGAGGAGAAAAGTGAACAAAAAGACCCTAAAAGGAAGGCACAGCACCCTACTCACCCAGGTGTCACCTATAAGAGAGTCTTACCCACTCTAACCACTTCTAAAGCCTCTCTGCAGCAGCTGCGTGTTCCGGAGGGCTGGCAGGCTCCCACTCCAGCAGGCGTCCCCGCTAAAAGCAACTTGGTCCTTCGTGTAGAGCCGGCCCCCAGCAGGGAAAACGTGTCTGCTTTTATACAGTTCATTGAGCACACCTGCCCGGGGAGGGGTGGCCAGCACCGCCCCGTCAGGGGTTCCCAATCCCACCCCCTTGGTTATGTCAGTGCCCCCCTTCTGCCCATGGGTGAGAACTTTGGAAATCCCCCCACGAAGGCACAGTGAGTCCTGGGGGTCTTTCCCAATTGAGTCTGGGGGCAAGCCTTCCTCACCTCATCATCACTTTCTCCTCCAAATGCCCTTGACGAGCCAGTAACCAATCACAGGAGACCAATTAAAACAGTTTATATAGAAGTTCTCCCTCCAAGGGCAAATTTAGTGTTTTATCAGTGAACTTGGCAGGAAGAACTGTAAACTACTGCAGGTGGCTAAGGCCAAACACAGACCAAAAATATCATCACAACTCCATCCCAGTACAAGGGCTCTGAGCCAGAGAGGGGATGAGAGCCGGGTCCAGGCTTGGGAATTGCCGGGAGGCGAAAGGGATGTCTAAGAACAAGTCCCTAAGGAGAGGGAAGCAGAGAGGCTGAGTTTTGACCCCAGCACAAAGGTGTGCAGGGCAGAGCAGAGAATATGCCCACATAAGATTCTTGTGCGTCCGTC